TTTCTATTTAGCACATTTTGGCACTTTTTTATCCTCAATATGGCACCTCATAACTAAGGATAGTTGGCAGCCCTGATTGGAAGATTTCTGCTGTGTTTTGGCAACAACTTGTCTGCAGTAAAAAAGCATATAATTTGTGTTTCAAAAGTGTGTGAAAACCAATCAATTAATTTACATGATCTCGGTTCCGATATTAAAAAATCAATAATTGTTTATACCCGCATTTTGGCACATTGGCTTGAATGTGCCATCTAATAAATAGTGTCGTCGTTCGCCTTGCTTTTAAATGATGTCACAAATTGCTGGCGGAGACATGAATACAGTGTAAGAAAATTCCTTTTCTATAATTGTTTCCTTATAGAAAGGTTGGTTTCTTTTCCACCTTAGACATTCCGAATTCGTTCAAAATATGCTAATTTAAAACACAGAATTCTTTCAGTGTTCCTCCGGGGTTTTTGGACATGGACGGTTTCTACAATTTAATAGTGTTCGCTTTATTTTTGTGAAAACGAAACATGTTTTGCCAGTTCTGGATATTTCTACTCTCTTTTTTCAAATATTTCTCGCATTCCAGCTGTGCGTTGCGTTTAGATTTTCGCATCGTGTTTTTACATATTCGTAATTTAATTTTTTTTAATAAAATCAATTGGTGGTAGTTCTTGATTGTGTGTGGATTAATATCACCACACTGAGGATCTGGGAATAACCTTTGCCATCTATTAAAAAATAACACTTACGGGGCAATGTTTATTGTAAGAACATTTTTTTCTATGAATCGACATACTTTAAGCATTGTTGACGCTATTTCCATTTGAATGAGGAAATAGCGTCAATGACTTTATTTCCAAATTTTTGTTGACTTTATTTCGCTTTTGAAAAGGTAATAATGTCAATTGACTTTATTTCGCACCAGGGTGGGAAATAAAGTCAATTGACCTTATTTCCGTTGATCTTGTTACCTGTCACCGTTTGTTTGTGTGTCTATTGCTGTGTTGTGTTGGGGTGTGGGTGTGTTGGTTCTGTGCTCCACGGGCGGGTGGTGGTTTGCCGTGGAGGCGGTACGGAGGTGACTCCACCCGCCACAGGCATTGCACCTGACCGAGGTGGTTTCCATGCAGTCGTCTCTGGCATACGCAAGTGTAAATTTCTGGCTCTGGGTTGGACTCTATGCCAGCCCTGAGCAGAAGGGTACGGAGCAGATGTAGCCCTAGTATCGAACAACGTTTGATGGATTTCGCCGACCTAAACGGGGTTAGATCGCCGAAACAACAGCCTTTGATCGGGTAAAGCCTGAGTCATTCCGGTACTTGATACTTGATAAATTTACAAAATAACACAAAATTCACGTTTTTCATAAAAATATATCATACAATGGATATTTTTTTAATTTTAAACTTACATTTAAGAAAACTCCATTCAGTGCTATAATTACGACTTGGATTTTCCAGTTTATAGAAACACAAGCGTTAATTATGTACTTAATTATTGATATTATTCTAAATTAAGCATTGATATTATACCTACATTTTGTTCATAAATAACAAATAATTATATAAACATGTATCGCCCGGTTGTCGAATTCGACATCTTTTTTTACACACTTTTGAATTTTGCTTGTCACCAATATTGACTCCTTTATGCGAATGACGATTTTGAAGTCCACCACCAAAATTTATGGCGAATTTACAGGAAAATAAATTTCTTCAGTAGCAAGGCGAATCTATACAAGGTGGTGTTATCGGATCCGCTGATTTCACGGCGAATTTGTACCTTTTGTCAAAATCATGTGTTTATTGTAATTTGGCTTTGTACTGATCAAGGAGCGTATAAATTGTTGTTGTAATATTTGTTTTTGTTCTGTTAACATCACCTTGTATAAATTCGCCTTGTTCAGTAGCTTTCGAAATTATACGGAGAAAGGAACCTCAATTTTTATTTATAAAAAATATGCATATGTATTTGTATGTAAAGATGAGATGCCTAACGGTTCCTCACTGACTAATATGTTAAACATATACCAAATCAGACCGTAAATACGTTTTTCGATTATATAGGTCTGAGAGCCCCTCGGAAGGTTAAAAATTAAATTTCCAACATCTACATAAACTCCTCTTTCTTTTCATCAGAATCGGTAGTGGTTAAGAAAGTACCTCGAAGGAGCGAAATAAAATATAATATTTCCTTCTCTAACGGCGGTTTTGCACGGGTTTTTGTCAACACTGGGCCTAAAGCCCTTTTTTTTTTTGCATCACATGAGTGGGCTACCAAGTTACACCAAATTTTATGTTGCTCTTATGTGTTCTAAAGACGAAGCTAATCTGACCATAAATAGGATTTTTCAGGATAGCTACCAATCCCTGCGCCACACCGGCTTTTCCCATATCTACCACTTTTCGCCTAAGTTCGTTATTGATAGCATAAACAGCTGTGTAAAATTTCAGGACGTTAGCATAAGCGGTCCCAGAGTTATCTCTGGGAGGTGCCAATACCTACCACTTCGTCGTAAGAAGGGTATTTACAATTTATGTATCCGTGCTAAGTTTCAGTTCCTCAGCGTAATTGGTTTTAGAAATATATCGGTTTTCAAATTTTTATCTGCATGTCTGATGCCACGCCCCCCTATGTAACGGGATTAACATTTCTGGATTAGAGGAAGTTATATCCTTTAAATGAATCATACATTGAAATCGAGCGAACGGTGCCCTCAAAAAAGGGAGTTGAAAATTTTCTTGTGGCGTATTTATGTATATATAGATATAGATTTTATCAAGGGGAATTAATATAAGGTGATAGCAGGAGTACAAAAACAAAAATTTACATGTATTTTGTTTTTGCTTTGGCGGCATAAACTGTCAAAATCTGTAAGAGTGTGTGTAGAAATTCAAACAAAATTTTTCAATTTGATATCAGAAGCCGTGCGGCGAAACACATACACAAAATCAGCTGAGCTAGTAACACCACCTTATATAAATTCGCCTTGGATTTTATCCTCGAAAAGAACTTTTTCTAATCGTGAGGCGAAATTCCCCACAGTAAGTGTTGCCGTGCGCGCAAAACGAAAATGCTGCACACAACCCAAAGGTACTCATCGGGGACCAATTGGTGAAAAACTGAGAAAAGCACACCTATTGCGAGTGTCGACTAGTAGTAGATAAACAACTCTTATCCGATTATCGCCTTTCCATGGTATTTTGGATGTCGTATTCTCGTTCAATAAGCGTCTGTGAATAGTTTTTAATCGCTCATCTTTCTAGAACTGTTTGTTTGTAGAAGGATGAGCGACTATAACTAGAGATGGGCCCAACGGGCCCCTGCGTAAGCCCGCGGGTACGGGCCGGAATATTTGCTGTCAGCACGAACTCGTGCGGGCCTGGGCGTTCAGTAAAATTTCAGAAAAGCACGAAAAGGCACGGAAAAGCTCGTTGCTAATACTAAAAATTTAGATGAGCTTTTGTGTTTATACAAAAAAAAAATAGTACTTATTTAAAACTCTTTTGATAAGAGAAAAGCAAAAAAAAGAAATATTTGGAAACCTATAGAAAATATATGATACTTAGTAGTTTTGTTTACATACATATCTGTACATAAAATACCTTCCACTTTTTCTACTTCCCAGAAAATATATTATAAAAATCTTTGATGTAAAATATTGATTCGCTTAAATATACGTATGAACATAAACACAAAATTAAAAATATGTACATAAGTATACATACAATAAAAGTTGGCTTTTATTTCCGGGCTGGGGCGTGTCCCGTCGTGCCGGGCCGGGCCGGGCCGGGCCCCACTAAAATTCTTAACGTGCGGGCATGTGCGTGTTTTTGTAAGTTGATTTTGCACTCGTGCCGGGCCGGGCCTGAAAATTTAGGCCCGTGCCCATCTCTACTATAAACTATTCTCACTCACTTATTGAACGAGAAAGCGACTTTGAAAATACCACGGCTAATCGAAAATCGACTAATGGTTGTTTATCTACTACTAGTCGACACTCGCAATAGGGGTGAAGGTTTATTACTATATATACTGTGGGCCTGTGTTATCAACCTATTAAGTTTCTTACTGGTTTCGAAGACTTAAGACCTTGCGAATGGTATATATATACATATCGCTAATTTACTTCAAAACTGCTATAACTCAAAACAACAAAAACTCGTGAAAAACAGCTTTGAAGTTTTCAATTTACATCGATACCTGAGTGGAAGATCGACCTATCTCGGGAGCCAGTCCGAAAACGCCATCTCAAAAAACTTTTCAAGAACGCCCTATTTCAGAATTTCATTGAATAACTATCTCAGAATTTGGTTGAAGAACGCCCTTTCCCAGTCGCCGATTCAAAATCTCAGCACATTTCCAATGTATTTTCAGCTGAGATAGGGCGTTTTTGAACCGAATTCTGAGACAGGGCCTTCTTCAACCAAATTCTGAGATTGGGTGTTTTTCAATAAAATTCGGAAATAGGACGTTCTTGAAAAGTTTTCTGAGATAGGGCGTTTGCGAAATGGCTGCCGAGATAGGTCGATCTTCCACTCAGGTGCCAATATACTCCTATAGTAAAAATGAATACGTATTTTGTCCTAGTGAGCTACTGGCTATCGGCAATTTTTACATAACTTAGAAGAACATGTAGCGGTCGTTATTGCATACTTAACTCGGTTTTGTATTATTTTTACTTGGAATACTCAAAAGATCTGTGTGTAAGTGCCCAGCAAACGCAATTTTTGTTTACTTTTTTAACTTTGGCTATGCTTTTATGCACTATTTTATAAAACAAAGGACATATTAGTCCTGAATTGATTCAAAAAAAGAACGTTTAATAACGAGTAGAACGAATGTTTTTTTTTAGTCTGTTGAAAATTGGCTGAGTTCTTCACGTATAGCGTATTTGTATGCTTTTACAAAAACAACCAATTGCTTGCGTAACTTAGCGTACGAACTTATTCATTTTTAGCCCGCTAAGTAAAATCACCCTAACACATCCCCAAGGTGAACACAATTTTGAAGATTTTTTAAGTGTGTTTATTGTATGATTTTACCATATACGATGTATATGTGTTTATAAATTTTAATTCTATTCAGTTTTTATAACAATTCTGTTCGAAGTAAGAAATACTTTAAATAAATATCTTTCTATCGTAAAGTACAATGTAAATTCATTTTTATTACCAAAAGGTAATAATCACATTGAGTGGAGAATGAACACAAGAATTCTATTCTTTGAATTTTCATACCTTTATAACGAGGTAAGTCTTAAGAACTTTAATAAAAAATAATTAATGTATCCACCTGGATATAAGGTATAATGCTAATCTCAACATTTAATTAAAGGAATTACTTATGTAAACAACGAATTCAGTCACATTGGTACATCTATCGGCAAATTTGTCCATTCTTTATTAACTCCAATAATTGCATTAAAATTGGAGAGGACTGAACGAGACCTACATCCTTAGGATCCAAATTTACTAGACATCTAAAGAATAGCGACGTCATCCGTTGATCGTTTGCGCGCAAAACTGTGGATGCCATCTGATGCAGTACATTTAGTCGAAAGTGATATGAAGAAATATCGCTAAATTTTTCAATATAGTCACAAAACATAGTCCAATCAGCTTCTAAAATTATGTTCAGTAACGCGTCTATAGTGGGTCTTGATCTGTCGCGACTGTAGCTTAAGATCTGCCGGCACGCATTAACTTTGTTTAAACCACAGTACTGCAGGCTGTGAAAGATCGTTATCAAAAGCTCTCCTCCCCCCTTTGTATCGTTCACAATCACGCACCAGGTGCAATAATTTCAAACGATTGTTTCGCTCAAAATATACCCTGCAGAATTCGTGCATATATTGGCGAAAAACTAGTTCATTATTATAAGCAAATCTATATGCTAAGTTTAAATCTACCTCTGAGAAGGTAATCAATATATTTCGGACTGTTTCGGGCTCCCGAAATGTGTGCGAAAATTTACAGGATGCCAGCGTAAAACATCTTCCTACCAGGAAAGGTAAGCACGTAACACCAAATGTTTTAGCGACAACGACTGTGGGCGGACCAAAATTTCTACCATCGCCACCATTACCACCGAATTCCCCGCGGTTAAATGTAACTTGCTGCGTATTGAGTGCTTTAAAATCTCTCGAGTTTTCTGCAATAAGAGACGGGGCCAACTGCAGTATATCCCGAATAATAGGTGGGACTGTGTTAAGCGCATTATGCGGAATAGCTACAGTGCCACTAGCAATAGTCGGTGGTTGAAGAGTTAATGGTGTTACCGCACACACATTTTGCACAGTGCGAGTTATATTTTCAAAGTTCACGGTTTTCATGGAATCTGGTTCCGTTTTGACCGCCTGCCTGTTGAATGCATTTGGTGGGAGTATAACCATAGGTAAAGGTGCTGCCGCTGTAACTGCAGGGTTGCTATGCTTCGTCGTTGCTGTTGTCAAAGATATTTTTGGTATTTTAAACTTCTTGAAAATATCAATTGATACATCAGTAGCCTTATGAGTGGTTTCTAGTTTGATGATCTTACTCTTATCGTCCAACTTTTCATGATTTTCAATATTAAACGTTTTTGTATCATCTTTTTCATTCGTTTTATTTTCCAAAGTCTCAACATAATTTGTGTGATGATCCGAAAAATTCTCTTCAACCACATTTAACACTTTTGTATCCATTTCTCTGTTATTTTTATTTGGTGAAGTCTCAACACAATTATTATCAAGTTCCGTAAAACGCTCATCATCCGAGGAACTGAAAAAAGATTAACATCGTTAGTAAATATACATACATACATATTTGTGAACATAGGCTGACTTCCAAAACGTATCTATACAATGTTTGAAAACTGTTATACTGCGGTATTCAAACTGTTTGTATATGCAGAGTTGCGACACATTGCAACCAAACCATATACATTGCATATTTTAAATATGGAATATAGCAATGTACAATCTTTCCGAATTTTCCATTTTCAAAAACACCAATGGTAACCAATAACAAACGAAGCATCAACTTTGTTTCTGATGCGCTGATTGCTCTAGCCATGCATTTCGATAACTTTTCGGATGCGTTTTGGAAAAGTTTACATTGTCAACATTTTGTAGTTCGGCGTTATGGAACATTATACTTTGTACGTATGCAAAGCAATTGACGTCTTGGAAGTCAGCCAGACAATGACATACGTACTTAAAACATGATGTTGCTAGGGACATCGCGTCATCTTCCAAGTCGTCGCCAAAATCAAGACAGGCATCATCTAGCTTCGACTCTATCTCCAAAACAGACAAACTTGAAAGAGAATCAGGTTTACACGTTTTCACGACATCCGGTACGTTATTATCCAACGCTTTATCTGGTTCTATAGGGATTTGCTGTGCCGACTCCTGGTAAGAAACTTCTTTTTCGCCGTATTGAAGATCTTCTAAATAAATTTCCTTATCGGACGGTAGGTCTTGCTTGCCGTTTAGCTCAAAATTGTTTTTCTGCTCGGATGTTCCTATAAACAAAATCCATTTCTTTAAAATTGTCATTATGTACACAGGTAAAAATCTCTACTCAGTATTTTATGAAATTTTCATGTGTAAATATGCAACCCATATTTTTGTGCATATGAATTTGTATAAAAAGAACGAACTCCTACAGAATCTACAATCATAGCCTTAATTGTCTTCTGTAGAGACATTTCAAACATCTACGCGATAAAAAAAAATCTTCGATTCGGCATCCATCGATGAAAAGCGAAAGTAATGAAAGAACCAAGTTCAGAACGACCTAATAATTGGAAGAACATCGCAAAGGCGTGCAAATAGCTAACTTTCCTTAATTTTTCTACAACGAAACAAGTTTTATAGTGCAAAACAGGACAGAATTACAAAATTTATTAGATAATGCTTTTGCTGTATGTATTTACAGTCTCAATTACTAAATTAATATTAAAATATTCAAGGCTATCACTGAATTTTTCGTAGTCTACTTTTCCGTGAAACCGACGAAAATGTTATTACTGAAGTCATGAGATCATGGCTGACTGTCTCAGTGTCACGACCTCAATCACATTGAAAATCATTGAGCAAATGTTGAGGGAGCCGTATGTAAACAGAATCCTTTAAATGTTAAGGAATTGTCATACTTGTCAAATTGGATTTGAAGACAAACCGGGTTCAGCGTTGAGCCGTCTTCAGTGTCCTTCCCCTTTTATATCGCGTTTTTTCTACAAAAAATTTTGCCTTTTCATTGCCCGATCCTTATGCCGAATTTCCACTAGGCATTTAAATGACAAAAAATGTGTGTCATTTAAAAAATGCCATGTAGAAGTGAACTTAATGACTATTTTTTTTTTAAGTAATGACACCATTATTGTTTAATGCACAACTTTGTCATTAAAATTTTTTGCCATTTAATGCCTTGTGGAAATTCAGCATTAGTATGTATTTGTGCGTAGAGGGCACTGCGAAGGCAACATTTTTCAGCAGAAAAGAAAACGCCATTACGTGTTCATAACGGCACCCTGAAATTGTTCATATAGAAACTGTGCATACGAAATAATGCATAGGCACACTTTCGGTTTAAAAGGAATATGTGTATACTAAGGGTGCCAATGCCGGGATCCCGGTGTTTCTGAGGTCCCGAAAATCCCGGAATTTACTTGTATTAATCCCGGGATACCGAAAAATTTAAAACATCGAATTGATAGTAAGAATGAATTTGAAGTATGATTTTTGTAAAATGCCGTTTTGACTACAATTAACAAAAATATTGAAACTTAAATGATGCACTCATAGCATCGCTAATATTAACGAAACAAAGTTTTAAGGAAAAGTTACACAATTTTTAAATCAATCTTCTCAAACTTCCTCAAATCGAAAAACTTATAATTTTTCTGACGTGCTGGTAAAAGAAGTTCAAATATTTAGTAATGGAGGAGATAGGGATCATTATCTTCAAATGGCTTATGACATCCTTTTGACTGTTGAGTCTAAAAATGTTGAGGCCGAAATATGTTTTTCATCAGCCAGTTTTGTGTGTAACAACTTCAGGTCAAAATTATAAGACTCCGCTTTGAATGCTTTGCTGCAATAACAACACCGGCACGAAAAAAGATGTGTGCTTTTAACCAGACCCACCTACCAACATGTATTTCGACCCGCAGAATCTGGTTCTGAGGTGCGTTTGACTTGTACACCCTAACAAAATTTCGAGTAAATTGGGAAAAAATGGCAAAAAAATCGCCATTCAACATTTCTTTATGGAGTAGAATAAACATATTTAGATAATTTGTTTTTGTACATTTTTGTTTTTTTTTTTTAATCATTACTTTCAAAAGTACCTGGTATTTACATTTTTATTTGTGATGTATGCGTTCCTCAATCACATTGTTACTTAAAAAATATCCCGAAATCCCGGGATCACAATTTTCCGCATATTTTGGCATCCCTGGTGTATACATATAAAAAAAAAGGCACACCAAAATGATGCGTATGTGCACAGTTTCGGTTGACCACCCGAAATAATGAATATGAGAAAAACCGAAATGAATTGGTTAATTACTAAAGAAAATAAGTCAGCATTTTTTTCAATATGGTAATATTGATGCAGTTCGGTTCGTTCAACAACTGCATCAAATTTGCCATATCGGAAAGATGCTGACTTATTCCTTTTGGTAATTAATAATAATAAGAATAATAATAATAATAGATTGACGCTTACACAATATGTTAGTGTTTGGCCGGGCTTTTTCTCCGATTTGTGGCGTGCACCTTGATGTTGTCACACAAACGGGAGGGACCTACAGCTTTACGCCGACTCCGAACGGCGATTGTATTTTTTTTGAGAAGCAGATTTTCATGGCAGAGATACACTCTGAGGTTTGGCATTGCCTGGCGAGGGCGACCACTATTAAAAAAACTCTTTGTTTCTTTTGAATGGTGGTGCGAAACTAGACTTTAGCCCAGGCCTTGCGGAATGGTAACTGCTAACCATTGCAACACAGCGACAGCCAACCAAACCAAATAATGCAAACATAAAAAATCATGGAATTGAACAAAATAAAAGACGATCAGTTCACACAATCTTTGCGCTAAAAAGAAATAGCCCCACACTATTTACCACCTGGACGAAGGAGGTCAGACTACAACTGGGAATTCACGTCGATGACGAACCAATTCCGATGGTGAACAACCCGAAGATCTTCGGAGTAACCTTCGACAGTCTGCTCTCCTTCTCGGCGCATACAACCGCAATTGTCAACAAAGTACAAAGCCGCAACAATGTCCTCAATTCGCCGGCCGGTTCTGACATATGCAGCGCCCGTGTGGTCACCGGGGACTAGTAGGACGCAGTGGATGAAGCTGCAGACTTGCCAAAATACGGCACTCAGGACAGCGACAGGATGCCTTCGGATGTCGCCGCAACATCACCTGCACGACAAGGCCTATATACTCTCCGTTAAGGAGCATAACACAATGCTCTGCAAGCAGTTTCTAGTTGGGAGCCACAGACGTGCTCACCCAAACAGACAACTGCTTGCAGAAGAGCCCTCACCCAGGCACGTTAGGAGGCATCTTTACGAACTGACGGACGAAGTCCAGAGGCTCATCAAACAACCTCTGGACCCGACAGCTTATCGACAGGCCTTGAACGGAATTCATAGCGAGGCAGTCTCCAGTTATGTGGACTCTCGACCTGTGAATGCCGTTCTGGGCATACAACCACCAGACGTGGACGAGACAAAACTTCGTCTGCCACGGGAGACTCGGACCACAATAGCCTAACTGCGCTCTGGTTACTGTGGCAGGTTGAACTCATTCCTGAGCAGAATAAACGAAGATGTTCTAAACGAATGCGGAGAGACGCCCCATGACTCACAGCATCTCTTCGCATGCCCACTGAACGCCACCCTACTGACGCCCCTGTCCCTTTGGACAGACCCCATTCAGGCTGCACGCTTCCTGGGGCTACCGCTAGTAGAGCTTGACGACAACGATTGAGGGACTAGCCTATCTGGGGCCTATTTCATAAAAGTGACAGGTGCGACAATTGTCGATTTTTCCATAAAATTTCACTGCCAGAATTATAGGCGACATTTTTTCTGTTTCATATACGCTTGTAGGCAACTATCATGATGCAATAATGAAAGGTGTTATACGTTGGCAACTTCTCGCTCTAATCCGCCATCTTGAACTACCTTAGGAGAAACTGTGTTGTTTCTTTGCTATTTTCACTGAACATTTCCCAAAATATTAGAAAAAATTCTGAACAAGCTACATTGATTCAATTTTCGTTGTTCGTTTTGTTCTTATTCGCTGACATTTGTTTTCCAATTGCGTGAAATTTGGTAAGTATTGTAATAAAACCGAATTATTTTACAAATAAGTTATAATTTTGCATTTATTAGGTAATTTCCTTAGTGTTTCGCTGACCGACCTGTGCTGGTATTGTGATTAAGGGCTAATACACGTAAGTTACAACATATTATTTTGACTTTATTGATGAACCATTCCATTTGAGCTCTTTGTTATTTCAAAACCTAATGAACCATTTATTCGCAGATTTTTCGGACGATTCTGCTGTGCTGCGTTCCTGCTCCGCCTGTATATTGCTCCGCCCGTATTTTATAGTGTTGCGTTCCTGTTGCGCCTTTGCATTAGTGTGTGCGTTGTGATTTTGACACGTTGAAGTAAGTTGAAACCAGGTTCTCGTTTGTTAAAAACCTAAAAAACCATTTATTTGCAGATTTTTTGTATGCTTCTGCTGTGCTGCGTTCCTGCTCCACCCGTGTATTAGATTGCTGCGTTCCTGTTAACATACATATCGTCGCTTAAAGTACAAAACCGCGTAACTGACATTTGCTGCTAAAAATTGGATTCGCTCACACACGTTTTTGGATCAATCCTTATCCATTCTTCCTGAAATATACTAGCCAAAAATGCGATTGCTTTTTACAAAAAGATAACCATTTTGAAATATGAGTGTTTTTACTCTCTAGAAATTAATTTATGCAACCTCGCATACGTGGGTTTGCATTATCTCTATACGCGGTTTTGCAATTTATTGATACATGGTTTTGTACTTTAAACGACGATATGTATGTAGATCTATGTACATGTATATCACATATATTGACTTAGATATGTATACACAATTAATGGTGCACATAAATTTTTTTATATTGAAACTAGATATGTATATAGTACATATTTTATTATTATTAGTCGGTTCAAAAAAGTCCTATCTCAAATAAAAATACTTCGAAAATGTGCTGAGATAGGGTGTTTTTGAACCGAGTTCCGAGATAGGGCATTTTTCAATCAAATTCTAAAATAGGGCGTTTTTCAGCCAAATTTTGAAATAGGGCGTTGAAAAGCTTTCTGATATCGGGCGTTTTCGACCTGGCTGCCGAGATAGGTCGATCTTCTACTCAGCCATCGATATATGGTCGAAGTTTTCTTTATATAGAAGACGATTAAACACGATTTGTTTTTAATCGATTCTAAAAAA